TAATTAACTTATCAGATGAAATTTTAGACAAACATACAACTGCTGCTCTAGGTTTTGGCTTAAGTTTTGCAACTTCAAAAAAACTTAATAATGTTGAAATTGCAAAAGCCTTTTGTAACTTTGAAAAATTTTCTGATTTATCCTCTGATGAAATTAATATTAGTAAAGGAATGGTAATAGCTCTATGTTAAAACCAAACATTCCCAATTGCCCTCAAAGATTCTTTAAGTCTTATGATACACTTAATAACAATAAAAATTTGCGCCTTACTAAAGCAGACAAAATAAATGCAATAGTAATTATGAAAAAAATGATTACCAAGAAAAAATGAATAATCTCTTAGATGATAACTGAAACCTATTCTAAACTTAGGAAAAATCCCCTAGAACCGTTAACAGCAATTTCAATAAAACAATAAAACTTCTACTGAAAGGCAAAGATGAATTAGTCAAACAATTTACTTCCACTAATCCATCTTTGCCTTACATGTATGGACTAATAAAAAACACACAACCAGGGAATCCAGTCAGACCAATTATTAGCTCCATAGGGTCAGTTTCATATAAATTATCCAAATGGCTTGTTGATATTTTGAGCCCATTGTTGGCAAAATTTCTAACTTTAATGTTTAAAAACAACATAGACTTGGTTGATAATTAAGCTCCTTGACTGACCTAAATGATTTTTAACATGGTTAGTTTTGATGTTACTTCCTTGTTTACGAAGTTCCTGTTGATGATTTATTAAGTTTCTTATCTGAGAAATCGTTAACTATGATTTACCATTGCCAGTTCCTACTATCATTAAACTTATTAAACTTTGCATTGTTGATGCAAAATTTGTATTTAATGATAATTTTACACTCAGAAGTTTGGTATGGCAATGGGAAATCCTCTTTCACCTGTTCTTAGTAACCTATACATGAATTTTTTGAAACAAGGTTACTTAACACAATCCTCCCTAATAGAGCTAAATGGTTCAGATATGTTGATGATATTTTGTGTCTTATGCCCAAAAATGTAGATATACACCATTTCCTTGGAAAATTAAATAGCTTAGCCCATTCAATAAACTTTACTGTTGAGTTTGAAGAAAATAACTCATTGCCTTTTCTAGATGTTTTAATTATTAAGGGTAATAATGAATTCAAATTTAAAATTTACAGAAAACCTACTAATAACTATTCCTATGTCCACTATTATTCCTCGCATCAAGATAGAGTCAAACTGTCTGTTTTCTCATCAATGTTTCTGAGAGCTTTACGAATTTGTAGTCCTGAGTTCATAGATGAGGAAATATCCAAAATTTATGAAATAGGTAATGATTTAAAATACCCAAGAAATGTAATTGATAAATCTTTTAAAGTTGCCAGAAATAACTTTTTACAATCCAAAAAGAACAACCAGCCTTATTCAAATAAAATATGTTGGTTCTCCCTTACCATGAAAACTTGGTTGATATGCCTTCTCTTCTTAAGACTTTTAATATTAAAGTTGTATTTAAAAAATCTCGATACAGTAAAAAAACTTTTGATAAAGAATTCCCCCAAAATGCTGATGGATGTGTCTATAAGATTCCTTGTAAAATTTGCGATAAAGTTTATTACGGTCAAACTGGTAAAAATCTCGAACTAAGATTAAAACAACATAAATATAGCATTAGAACTGGACAAGATTCCAATGCTCTATTTATTCATGTAAGAGATTTTAACCATCCAATTGATTTTCAAAAAGTTGAGAAAGTAGTATCAAGCAAGTCCATGGTCGACGGAATATAATTGAATCTTGTTTCATAAAAGCAGTTTTGACAATAATATGAATATTTCCTTTGGTTTATATAAATTAGATCTATTTATAATTAATAGAATTTGGGAAGATTTAATAATACACTGGACAAATAATCTTTAAAATTCTTATTCTTGGGTAGAATAGTTTGTGGGGTGAGTTGTGCCAAGGACCTTTCCAAGTTGGCTCGCCGCGCGTCACGTGTTTAAAACCGTTGTGGGATCTGATAGTGAGGTGCCGACCAGACCCCTTATATAGCTTCCTTGGATGCTTTACTTTCATAGTTCCTTGATAATGTGAGTAGTCACGAAAGCGCTTGGAATTTCTCTGTTCTTTCAGAGTGGTTGTTTTGCATATTCTGAAATCACCTGTTTACTGTGATCTTATTGCATATATTATATATAATATATATATATATATATATATATATATATATTATATATATATATATATATATATATATATATATATATATGTATTATATATTATATATATATATATATATTTATATATATATATATATATATATATATATATATTATTTATATATATTCCATCATCGCTCATTCCATCACTGTCTTACCAGAGGCTTGCCGATAGTACTAAATATTGTTCACTTATATAGATTAATATCAACACTTGGTATACCCCCTTTCCTTCCTAAAGTCTACTTGTTCATTATCGATCCTTCTTTTTGTCTTACTCTTTAATCTTTCAGTAATAACTCTACCATACTCTTTATTAGGTATACTCAACAGACTTATTCCCCTATAATTGTTACACTCTTTTGTACCCTTTGTCATTATACAATGGAATAATGCATGATCTCTGCCACCCCCTAGGTACCTTCCCCTCTTTCATACATTATTAAATAAGAACACCAATCCTTCCATATATATATATTTATATATATATTATATTATATTATATATATATATATATATATATTATATATATATATACATATATATAATATATTATATATATATATATATATATATATATATATATATATATATATATATATATATATATATATATATATATATATATTATATATATATGCTCTTCCTTGCTTTTTTCCCTCTCTCCTCCCATTCTTTATCACTGAGTGTAGGAAAAAGGCAGATAAAATGAAGATTGACAATAACGCACAGTGGAGATAGTCATTGTTCTGCCTGTTATTTGAACCTCTGAGAACATACTGAACTACACTGCTGTGAGTTATACGAAAATAGCTTATCTTTCTTCTAACACTATTAGGGGTTTTCCAGCTAGTATAAATAGACTACAATATGAAACCAGTTCTGGGGTTTACACCATACCATATATGACAAATAATTTTTTTTTGTTGCGGATACCTTCAGACGTGTCCCACAGAGGGTGTAAGAACACAACAACACTTAGCATCATTAATGGAAATCTCATGGACTTGAAGAATATCAAACCAGTCATCAGTGAGTTCATCTTGACAAGAGACGGCGTTTGGTTGTCACTCAGTACCAAACAACTATAACTCCAGAAAGGGATTTTAATAATTTCTAAAGTATTGCCACAACGTATTTTATCCAAGCAAAATAGTCATTTTTGAGTCCCACTCGTACCTCTCCGGTTAACGTACCTGAACCCTCGTCTCACCTGACCTCCACAATAATGTGAACTCAGTCTCTCGTTCTTTGTACTGGACTGAAAAAGTCTCTGGCGGGCAAGACATATCCTAAATAAATATCTTGCTAATCACAAACGTGTCTTTGTAGCATTCTTTCATTCTCTCTTCTGACTTACTCTGCTCTTTTCTCGCCCAGCTGAGACTTTACAATGTTTGTGAATTCTTCCTTCCTCGGAAATGAGACCTATTATTCATTAGATGAAAGTATTTTAAAATTAGATTATATTACGTTAAATTCGATTAGGTTAGGTTAAATTAGGTTGTATTTAGGTAGGTTAAGTTTGGTTAGATTTTTCTTCTTTTTCTTTTTTGTCATGGTAAGTTTTATCCTGCGCGGATTTTATCAGGGTCGGTTTTGTCCTAGGTAGTTTTTGTCTTGTACTAACGTTGGTGGAATTACCAACAATGTGTTAGATCAAAGGACACAAGTGCAACTAATGCGACATTTTATTGCGGCAACGTTTCGCTCTACAGGAGCTTTGTCAAACTTGTAACTGTTTGACAAAGCTCCTGGTGAGGGAAATGTTGTCACAATTAAATGTCATATTAGTTGCACTTGTGTCCATTTACCTAACAGCTTTTGTGCTGGGTTGAGTTAACAATATACCGCCATAATGAAGCGATGGTGCCGTCCACTTGCTGGGTCACTTGCACTCACTCTTTCAACATTTTTTAAAGAATTTGTCCTGTTTCCTTCTTGATTATTTCAGCTTTTGTTCACTCTATGAAATATACATATTTTTCTCTGTGAATGACCAAGCAGTAGCTATGTGTCTTGCAGGCATATTTTTGTTAAGGATTCTCTGCAGCTTTACCATACTGTGTACCCACCAGGAATTCTGTAGATGCCTTCATCGATAATGGTATGTCTGTGGGTTGTTGATCTGGCAATATCTTCAAAGATTTTTGATGTTCATGCCACTCTGGAGGTTTAGAGAACTCTGGTTGACTTTATCAGTAGGAACAATGAATTGGTCAGGATTCACCAGCTAAAATCAGGAGGGATTCGGCACCTCGGAAGTTATTGTTCACTCCTGTCATCAGTTGTGAAATTTCTATGCTCGATCCCGTTGTTGTATGGCGGGTAATTCATGATCAGGTCAAAAACTGCACAATAATTGTGACAGCCCTTCTCAAAAAAATTATTTAAAATCTCATTTGCATTAATTACTTTTAATTGCTTAGTTCTGATTGGCAGTTGCCTGTAGTGTGCTTATCCTTACCTCGGGCTTTATTCCACCACTCAATTATGTACCATCGATTATACTGCTGTTGTTTATACGGGTTCTATTAATATTTGATCCTTTGAAACTAATTTTTCACAAGATATGACACTGAATTCTGCGAAGCTGAAGAACCTGTGGTAAAAAGTAATGAAGTCACGTTACAGCGTTATTTTTCTCCATTAAACACATGAATTTCAAATACATAAACAGGTGATATTAAATACAGACTTGAAATAATATTTAATTTATAAGGTTTATTGAAATTCAAAATAATGTTTGAACTTTAATCTTGAACTAAAAAAAACACATCTGTTCTACTAGGCGCTACCTGCCGATGGAACTGTATTCCACTGTCACAATGTACGAAGCTTCATCACTTATTAAGAAACCCTACCAAAGAAAATATTGCAGCGCTGCAGAGCGTTACTTGCACTTTTGAAAGAGATCCCAAGGTAAATTCCTCTCAACGTGTTTAATGTCGTACGTTCTATATGGCATTCTGTTTAGAACACTGTTGGATTCTTTTTGTATCATTTAATATATTTTTTTTTATGACAGGTGTGTTGTCCTCAGTCACTGTTGCCCAGGAAATGTGGTGACGGCCCAAGTCTTGACAGAATTATTGGGGGGACACCGGCACCACTTGGCAGTCATCCATGGTTGGCTCTTTTAGGTTATTTACGTAAGTTCATATTATTACGTTACATATCTTTCTGTATGTATATATATATATATATATAAATATATAATATATAATATATATATATTATATATATATATATTATATATATATAATTTTTTTTTTTTTTTTCAACAAGTCAGTCGTCTCCCACCGAGGCATATATATATATATATATATAATATATATATATATATATATATATATATATATATATTATATATAATATTATATATTAATATATATATATATATATATATATATGCATATTGTGGTATCACCTGTTTACTGAGATCTTATTACATATATAGACAGACACCAGGATTCGACATCATGTCACAGGAGTGACATAATGTCGAATCCTGGTTCTTTCTCTAAGTGACGCTCTAAACCACTCGGCCACAGAAGCCACAAAAGCTGGGCAGCTTGGTTTACAAGCCATGTTTACTCTTAGGCAGGACACATCAATGTGCCTCGAGCATGGCTACAAGCTAATTCAATCTCCTCCTGTATATTCTCACCTCACAAGAGATTTTTGTGTCAATGCACCACGCAGAAACAAGCGGAGTCACGTGTAGAAAAAGACCGTATTCAGCAGGTTTCGAAACCACTTCTAACGAGAGACAGAATATTTTGGGAGATGTTAAATGAATCGATAGGTAACTGTGAACACAGTTAGGGAGTAATTGTAGTGTGGGATCTAAAAGCTAAAGTGGGAGAAACTGTTGTATAGGGAGTACAGGGAAAGTTTGGCGTACCTGGGGTAAATGATAATAGGGCCTTTAATTTAACTTTGTATAGAAAGAGGTTTGGTAATGATTTAAGGTAAAAAGAATACTTAAGTACTTGATACATTCATTCACGGATTTAGAAAAGGCATATGATATGGAGGATTGGGGAGTAATGAGACAGATGTTGCAAGAGTATGGTAAAGGTGGTATGTTACTTAAAGCAGTTCAGAAATTTTATGAGGATAGTGAGGCTCTGGTTAGAGTATGTAGGAGAAAGGTAGATAATTTTCCAGTAAAAGTAGGCCTTAGACAGGGATACATGGTGTTGGGATGAAGTGTAGGATTAAAAGATCAAAAGTATCTAGTACAAAGTGAGAGTTGTCATAGTTGCTTTTTGCTGATATCACTCTGCTTTTCGAAGATGGTGAAGAGAAGTTGAAAAGGTTTGTGGACCGATTACGGAAGGTATGAAAAGAAGAAAATTAAAAGTCACCTTAGGAGAGAGCAAGGTGGTAATGGTAACACAAAAAATCTGCTGATGAAGTATAGAAGAAGTGGATGTGTTCAAATATTTGGGGGTGGACTTTTTGGCAGACGGGTCTGTGGAAGACGAGGTGAACCAAAGAACTGACGAAGGAAAAAAGTTGGGTAGTGCACCGAAGCATCTCTGGAGACAAAGAACGTCGACTTTGGATTCAAAATTGGGTATTGTATCAGAATAGAGTGGTTCTAAGACTCTTATATGGGTATAAAGCATGGATATTGAATGCCTCAGCGAGAAGGAGACTGGAGTCAGTGGAGATGTCATGTCTGTGGGTAATGTGATTTGCAAATATTTTGCAGATGATTCATAATATGGAGATTAATGGTAGGTACGGGGTTACTAGGATATTATGCAGATGGCTAAGGAAAAAATTATTGAGTTGATTTGAACATCTAAAGAGGATGGAGCAAAATGGAAGGAGGGACAGCAGTTGTCCTAGGAAAGGTTGGAGGGAAGGGTAAAGGTGTTATGTGTCTGAAGAACTTTAACATCCAACAAGCATGTGTTAGCATATTAGAAATGAGTGACTGAAGGCAAGCGATTTTCATTATTTAACATGCTGTTGGGGTCTGAGGAAGGGAAACTGGTTAGCCGGACTTAAGTCCTAGAGGTGGGGATATTGTAGGTTGGAGGGACACCTGAACTGTAGTGTCGGCAAGTCTCAGACAAAATAGTGATGGAGTGAATGACGATGAAAGTGTTACGTCTTTTTCTGGTCTCTTTGCTTCGGTGGGAGACGACCGGAGTGTTGAAGAAAACACTTGGATTATAAAAGGGTTTCATCATAAATTATCTCCCTGAGGTATCAGCTGCAAAAAATTACTTTCAGATTCTTTTATAACACCTTAGGCAAATGTTTCTGTTTATTATAATCACAGCCCCTTAAAGTATAAGATGAAATTAAGATTTATTCAGGAACGGGGAGGGTAGGTCCAGTTCCTGGGATATAAGACCTTCATTGGCATCACGTCGCTCCATGGTAATGAAAAAAAAATACTGAAAAGTTATTGTGCAACATAATTTTAATGTTGGATATTATTGATGTTCAACTCTAATCTTAAAGCAACTTGCATGAGTTATGCAACACTTTACTACAAAACCTTTGTCTTTGTTAAGTAAAAGGACCCAGATGCAACTAATGTGACATTTTATTGTGGCAACGTTTCGCTCTCCAGGAGCTTTATCAAACCGTTATCGAAACGTTGCCACAATAAAATGTCACATTCGTTGCATTTGTATCCTTTTAATTAACATATTGTCGGTAATTCTACCAATACTAATAAAACTTTTGTCTTTACAGGGCCTGGAGCTCAAGAGATAGAGTTCCTGTGTGGCGGGTCAATTATTAGTGAACTATACGTACTTACTGCTGCCCATTGTTTGCATGATTCTGTATTAGAAGGAACGAAACTGTAAGTACTGAGATTAAAGCTGTCTTATTATATTATCTGGGGATGGAGTGGTTGCAGTAGCCAATTCGATTGAGAGGGTAATTGATGACTTGTCTAGGAATTTAAACTGATAGATTATAAGGTATGGGTGTTTGTGCGAAACAATCAGGCTGCAGCATTAGGGTTAAAAACAGAAGTTATTACTGGGATACCTCAGGGATATGTTTAAAAGACAATATTCAAAATAAAGTTGATAGTAATGGCAAATCAATTGATCAACAAACAAAGAGAGATAGTAGAGGACAACGAGTGACTAGCTCCCTTAAGGTTTACTTTACAAATAGTATGAGTCTAAGAAATAAGATAGATGAGCTAAGATTACTTGCAAGTGTAGGTAATATAGATATTATTGGTATAACAGAGACCTGGTTCAACCTGAAAGATAGAGAAATGCCTTCTGAATGCAACATACAGGGTTATAAACTATTCCACACTGATAGGGTCAACAGGAAGGGTTTGGAACAATATGACAGGAAATCTTGAGTCTAGTGACTTTCTTGATACAGTTCAAGACTGAGTTTTAGAACAGGTTGTGCCAGAACCAACTAGAGGAAACAATCTGCTTGATTTGGTTCTTGCCAACAAAGATTCACTAATTAATAATCTTGAGGTTAATGATGAGCTTGGGGAAAGTGATCACAAATCACTTAGTTTCAATATATCATGGAATTACTCAGATAACTGCAATCAAATCTATGTCCCAGATTTTCGCTTGGCCGACTTCATGGGACTGAAAAATTACATGGGTGGGCTAAATTGGGATGTCCTGACTATGGGTCAGGTAGGTGATCTTGGTTGCCAATATGACGTTTTCAGAGCATAGTTCTAGCTGCCCAGACAACTTTTGCTCCGAATCGGGAAATCAGATCTAACAAAAATGATCCCAAATGGATGAACAATAGATTAAAACATCTCATTGGTCAAAAAAGAGGCATATAAAGGCATATCAAAAGAGGGGATGGTCAGTTAAGAAATCAATATATTCAATTAAAGAGAGAAATAAAGAAAAGAATAAGAAAAGCAAAAAGGGATCATGAGGCTAAGGTCGCAAGAGATTCAAAGACTAACCCAAAAGGGTTCTTTCAGGTATACAGAAGTAAGATTGGCCCACTTAAAAGTAACTCTGGTCAGATCACTAACAGTGATAAGGATATGTGTGAAATTCTCAATACCTACTTCCTCTCAGTTTTCAGCCAGGAAAATACTAGCGATATTCCTGAAATAATAGATTATGTAGAACAGGATGACAATAAACTATGCACGATTGCAGTAACTAGTGACATGGTCCTCAGACAAATAGAGAAACTAAAACCTAACAAATCCCATTTCCTGATGAACTGTTTGCAAGGGTGTTGAAGGAATGTAAAGAGGAACTTACCATACCTTTGGCTAATCTTTTTAACATATCACTACAAACTGGCATAGTGCCTGATAAGTGGAAAATGGCAAATGTAATACCTATTTGCAAGGCAGGTGACAGGTCATTGGCTTCGAACTATAGACCAATAAGCCTTACCTCCATAGTGGGAAAATTTATGGAATCAGTAATTGCCGAAGCAATTCGTAGCCATCTTGATAGGCTCAGATTGATTAATGAATCTCAACACGGTTTTTATAAAGGGGCGTTCCTGTCTTACGAATTTACTAACTTTTTTCACTAAGGTGTTTGAGGAGGTAGATCATGGTAATGAATATGATATTGTGTATATCTACTTCCGTAAGGCTTTCGATAGAGTTCCACACCAGAGGCTATAGAGGAAACTTAAGGCACACGGAATAGGAGGAGAAATTTTTTCCTGGGTAAAGGCATGGCTGACAAATAGGCAGCAGAGAGTTTGCATAAATGGGGAGAAATCAGAATGGGGGCACGTCACAAGCGGTGTTCCTCAGGGGTCAGTGTTGGGCCCGTTGTTGTTGACAATTTACATATACGACATAGATGAGGGAATAAATAGCGACATAAGCAAATTTGCTGATGACACCAAAATAGGACATTCAATTCATTCTAATGAGGACACTGGAGCACTACAGGATGATTTGACTAGACTGATGCAATGGTCAGAGAAGTGGCAGATGCAGTTTAATATTGACAAATGCAAAATTCTAAATGTTGAACAGGTAAATAACTATGCCACATATAACTTAATAGAAGTCTTCAGGTTGTTCTTCAACTCTGTATATCCTTGATTAGGCCTCATTTAGACTATGCTGCTCAGTTCTGGTCACCGTATTACAGAATGGATATAAATGCTCTGGAAAACGTACAGACAAAGAAGATCCCATGGATCAGAAATCTTCCCTATGAGGATAGACTGATGGCCCTGAACCTGACTAGCTTGTGCTGCTAGGTCTGGTGCCGTGCTCCATCCTTGAGTGAAGGTGACCAGACTGGGTGGGTCATTGAGCTAATTCAGGGGGGTGGGTCATTGGGCTTATCCGGGGGGAGGGGACATGGACCTGCACCGCATGGGTCAGTAGACCTGTTGCAATGTTCCTTCTTTCTTATGTTCTTATGTTCTCATAGGTGCTAGATACAATGTTGCTGTACAATATATTGAGACAAGTTCAGTTTTCGTCGACAGTGTACAAGTCCTGGCTGGTTTACCATTATCCTTATACTTAAAAGTTTAAAACACTTTGCTGCAGATAAATGTAAAATACGCATTTCCTTTACAAAAAATTGTTTCAGGTTAAAGAAATAATATTAAATGGAGCATTAGTAGTAAAGTAAAAAGTTGAACATTGAAGAATTAAATTCAGAACCTCTTAAGTACTGTATTTATAAGATGTATAATTACCATAGTGCATATTTTCTGTATCCTGGTAATAAGTTCATCAAACATTGTTGTACTCTACTTGTCACTTTTATTCCAGTTCGCTTATCCGGTTAGGAGAGTGGAACACAAAAACTGACCCAGATTGTGAAAAAACACTCCAGGGGGATGAAAAATGTGTACCCCCTGCCCAGAACTTCACTGCTGAAGAAATCATAACTCATCCTGACTATAACACTCGAGTACAGTTTTCTGATGATATTGGTCTGATAAGACTAAACAAACCAATAGACCTTTCTGCAGGTAAGTCAGTAAAGTACGTTTGATAGTCTTTCATGTGTACAATATATTGGAGCTGGAAGGACGAGTTTTTTTTTTAATTAATTTATTAAATATCTACAGAATTTACTCTTAGACCAAATTCGAGTGTTTATCCATCTTACAGAGTGACCTGAAGGCTCCAAAGGCTCCAGTCGTATATTATGTGATGTGATGATTAAATACCAATGAGTTTATTTAAGTACTCATTCGTAAAGATACAATATGTAAAAAAGTTTTTGTATGGCCTGCCGCAGTTTGGTGAATGATTCAGTACCACTTGTTTCGTGCTTTCATTGCTGTATATACTGCTGGTTGAGGCAGGTATTCAAATAGGAGGAGGCTGAAATTAATCCTTGAACATCCACTGCCACGAGTGTCCTCGCAACATGAAACAAGGCTAGTTCACTAGGCTCATGTTTGTAGGATCGATGGTGTAGTGGATAGGGTGACAGATACGTTGTGTTGTCTCTTCAGGCGGAACATTGTGTCGTGGAGTTAAATCCTGGCCTGCCGCAGTTTGGTATATATATATATATATATATATATATATATATATATATATATATATATATATATATATATATATATATATATATATATATATATATATATATATATACATACGCAAAACAGCCACTGTGAAAGAATAGCAAAATTCCAAATGCTTTCGTGACTTCTCACATTATCAAGGAACTATAAGAAAAACATCAAAGGCATATAAAGGGTCAAGATTACACCTCACCATTACGTCACTATAACATAGCTACACCTCACACGTGTGACGACACCCGACCCAGTGAAACCCACCTAATACTCTACCCAAGAATTACGAGGATTAGAACCCATGTTGTACTGGCCTGCCTCATGGTAAGCGAGAACCACATTATGCTTTAAACTACAGGACCACCCAACTCTACAAGAATGGCACAGCCAGCACAGAGCTAGCTGTTGGGCCGCCATCCGAGGGCACACTTTTGTGTGGGAGCTTCTAAGCTAATTTCATTCTCATCCCTGTTTGGTGTACTAGCCTCACGAGCAGCATTTATATATTATTGTAACCACGAACGAGTGCTATTGATCAATAACAACAATGCGCTAGCCAAAGATTCGAACCCATGTTGTACTGGCCTGCCTCATGGTAAGCGAGAACCACATGACGCTTTAAACCACACGACCACTCGTTCGTGGTTTCAATAATATATAACTGCTGCTCGTGAGGCTAGTACACCAAACAGGGATGAGAATGAAATTAGCTTAAAAGCTCCCACACCTCCGTATGCCCTTGGACGGCGGCCCAACAGCTAGCTGTGTGCTGGCTGCGCCATTCTTGTAGGGTTGGGTGGTCCTGTGGTTTAAAGCGTCATGTGGTTCTCGCTTACCATGAGGCAGGCCAGATCAACATGGGTTCAATTCCTTGGCTAGCACAGTGTTGTCATTGATATATATATATATATATATATATATATATATATATATATATATATATATATATATATATATATATATATATATATATATATATATATATATCGTGCCGAATATGTAAAACTGGTCAGTTAGCAAGAACTCATTTAAAATTAAATCCTTTCTGAAATTTTCTCTTATACGTTTAAATATATAGTTTTTTCATTAATATTAATGTAAAATTTTAATTTTGCCCCAAAATAATATTAGAAAACTTATCTAACCTTATAACAAGAGCAATTTATTTTAGCCTAACCCAACTAAATATATTTTAAATACGTTTACAATAATTTAGTGCTAAGCTAACACTATCAAATATTTTTTTTTTCGTTAGGTGCAGAATGATTTTGGCGAAATTATTGCATACACAAATTTTCACTTGGTCAATATGGCAAGATGAGCGTTGCTATATAAGCCAAGATCGCAAGTTCTGCCTATTCGGCACAACATATATATATGTACAATAAGATCACAGTAAACAGGTGATTTCAGAATATGCAAAACAACCACTGTGAATGAATAGAGAAATTCCAAGCGCTTTCGTGACTACTCAGATTGTTCCTTGATAATGTGAGTAGTCACGAAAGCGCTTGGAATTTCTCTATTCTTTCACTGTGGTTGTTTTGCATAATATATATATATATATATATATATATATATATATATATATATATATTATATATATTATATATATATATATATATATATGCATATATATATGCATATATATATATATATATATATATATATATATATATATATATATATATATATATATATATATATATATATATATATATATATACCATGCGCTGGCATGGCAAGACGTGTGGCGGGCTTGCTGCGGGATTTTCAATTATAACTCCGGATGAACGAGGCTGACCAGGTTAAGACTCAACAGTACTTATTGTGAATATTCTGGGAAGATTCCAGTGAAGCGAGAAGACATTTCAGTGCACCATTTCAAGGTAAATTGTGGAAATGTTGTGCAGTTTGTAAATGTTGGTGAGGGGTGGTAGTGAGGAAGACGGCCAGTGGAGGGGTGGGGGAGTACAAACAAGGCCTACACTGTGTATGAGTACCGGCCAAGATTATCGTACATATAAACCTCGAAAAGCTCTTACAAAAACATGTATATCCAGCACCATGCACCATGCTTCCAGTTAACTTGGAAATGATTGTGTCGATGCATGGACTATTTAGAGGCATATGTTATGGAAAAACAATGTGAAATTAATGTTAACGAGGGAGTGACCAGTCAGTGCATCCACCCCCACGTCACGGGGGTGGGTGGAAGAGGGCGGGATGTGTAACTGGATGTGTAACTAGATGGTGAGTGAACACATTGGTTCAGCAGTGCCCATACCCACATTGTTCATAGTGTACATGTGAAACAAATAAAGTTATTGTGTATTGTAAGACAGTGTGAACAATATATAGTGCGCAAGTCCATGTGTATTGTACTTCCCGGGATAACCCCACTCAACAACCTGCGCCTCCCCCACCTAATTCCCAGGGGAAGTTTTCCCCTTCCCCTCCCTGCCCCTCAAACTCCACCAGGCCACCACGGTCAAGTTCACTACCTTCCACGCACCATACCCACACAGCATGTCATATTCCACTCCTTGTCTAGTCTAGCAGATGGATGCCAACCAGGAGGAAGCAAGCAGCCAGGGAAATGGCACGGTTGGCAATACTAGGAGAGGCAAGTGTCGGTCATGCTTACAGCTTCGTTGTCTCAACTCGAATGGTTTCCTCCGCAAGCACGGTAGTTGCCCTGGTTCAGGATGTCCTCCTGTGGAAAGTGATGATCCAGAGCCACCTCAGGCACCTGAACCCTCACCAACAGATTTCATCTCATCAGACAATCTCTTGGAAGCAATTAAAGCAACAGGTACCAGGACACTCACACATATCCCCAAAGCAGCCCGTCCACACGCAGCTGGGAAACTTACAGACCTCCTGAAAAAAGTAAACGATGGTTCCACTATCTTAAATGCTCCACCAACCATCAAGGCATGGCACAACTTGCTACTTTTTGGCAATGTCTGCTTAGCTGTGCCGGAAAGAAGGGGAAAGAGGCTAGCCTCAATGATAATTAAATCCTTAAGAGATTTTCCTAGAGTTGATAACCTCATTCGCCTTCCCCGTCAACACAAAAAAGGGAGAGGCAGAACCCCCACTCACTCTACTGACAGTGAAAAAGTCAGAGTCCAGGTGAGCAAGAAAATTGAAGAGGGCAACACAGTGGGGGCAATAAGAATTATTACCAGTGAAGATACAGTTGCTCCCAGGGATGCTGACACGGCTGAAGCACTTAGAGGAAAGCACCCTGCCAGGGAAACCAGAGGCACCAACAGTTCCAACACCTCTGTCCCCACTATGGAACCATTGATAGTGGAAGACTCAGACATTTACAAAGCAATAATGTCGTTCCCATCTGGCTCTGCTGGGGGTTACACTGGAATAAGGCCACAGCATTTAAAGGAAATGGTTAATCCAGTTATTGGGGAAATTGCAGAGACACTGCTTTCAGAGATCACAAGGTTCGTCAACAATTCCTTGGCTGGTCTGATCCTGATGAAATTAGACCTTTCTTTTTTGGTGCAACACTTTGTGCACTTAAAAAGAAGGATGGAGGAATTCGGCCAATTGCAGAAGGCAACACCTTACGCCGCCTCGTATCCAAAGCTGCTGTCCGAAGTATTCGTGCACAGGCAGCCATGATGCTTCAAAACCAAACCAGCTTGGCTTTGGGGTCTCTCAAGGAAGTGAAGCAGCGGTTCATGCAACAAGGGCGTATATCAACAACCTGCCTGAGGACAATGCAGTGGTAAAATTAGATTTCAAGAATGCGTTCAATCTCCTGAAAAGAGACGTGGTATTAACAGCAGTACAAGAACATTTCCCTGGTCTCTTCCCTTTTGTTTCAGCCGGGTATAGCAAGGAATCAATGCTTCTCTTTGGAGAGCATGAAATTACATCATCGGAGGGTGTCCAACAAGGAGATCCTCTTGCACCATTTCTCTTCTGTATAGCAGTTAGGGAAATCACAGTCAGACTGACCAGCGAGCTAAACATCTGGTTCCTAGATGATGGCACACTAGCAGGTACAAAAGACTCCCTCCTACATGACCTTACACAGGTAATGACATGGGGACAGGAAATGGGTCTCATCCTGAATCCATCCAAATGTGAAATCATCTCAGTCAGTCAACAAGTGATAAATGCAGTGAGAGCAAAACTACCAGGAGCAGCAGTCATTGCCCCCACAAATAGTGTCTTGCTAGGAGCACTCTGGGAAGCAATGCCATTGACACAATTCTCAGGAAGAAATTGGAAGAGTTAAGGAGAATGGAACAACGAATAGGCAATCTGGACACCCACGATGCCTTGTACCTTCTCACAAAGTGCTTGAGTCTGCCCAGGTTGACATATTTCCTAAGATGTGCACCTTCATATGATAACCCTATACTGCACGAATATGACAGTATTCTGAGGCAGATTTTTACGAAAGTACTTAACCTTACTCTAGAAGACGGGCAGTGGAACCAAGCTACACTTCCAGTCAGACTAGGAGGCATTGGTGTCCGCAAGTCATCACAGATTGCGTTACCTGCTTTTCTGTCCTCGTGTATTGCATCCAGAGAGCTTGTAGCAGCGA